CAATCCGCTGGAGATCGGCCGCTGCTACATGAGTGTGGCCTGCATACGATCCCGACGATTGGGATTATTGATACCGATGCTAATCCGACGCATGTTACGTACCCGATCCCGGCGAATGATGACAGTTTGCGATCTGTGGCGGTCATCGCGGGGGTTTTGGGGAGGGCGGGGGAGGATGGGCAGCGGGTTAGATTGCAGGAGGCGGCGGAGGGGAAGGTTATGTATGCTGTGAATGAGATATTGGAGGATTGGAAGCCGAAGTCTGCGGAGGTTGCGGAGGCGGGGGCGGATCAATAATTGATTGAAGGGGATGGATGACGGGTTGGTGTTGTAGTTTTTGTATTTTTTCAATCTCTTCTTGCTTGTTAACCTTTTTTTTTTTTTATTTCTGGCAATGTTCTGGTCTGGTCTTTCATGTTTTCTATTGTAGAAAAAAATATTATGTATAAATAGGAATTTATTTTCATTTAGGATTTTGATTCTTCTTTTGATTTTCTCTATGAATTTGTCACGGCCACTTCCTCCTTTTCGCCCTCAAGAGGCAATACAGACATGGATGTGGTGGTTTTCTATATATTCAGCCCGCTCAAGATCAGTTGAGTAGACAAATGGAACCCTGGACGCTTTGCTGCCGAAAGAAATATACCAATTGGGTCCTTAGGCGAGGCGCTCTGGGCTCTGTCTGATGGTGCTAGCCAGAATTTCGGAGGTTGGAATGCAAGAAGATATTTGACGTTCACCTCGAAGTATGCTCAGAACTCATCTTCCAGCGAATAATTGCTCCTCGTCAGTCTGAACTTGGCATTGGGTATTTGTCAAGATTCCCGCCAGAGTGAATCCTATCCCGTGTGCTGCTGTTGCCTGCTATCTCAGCCCGTTTTGGGCTTAATTGGAATTGTTGATCCCGTGTCCACGCGCACTAGCGCGTCTTGCCAAGGGAAGGGAAAGACGCGCCGAGACAGCGAACACGAGGCCAACAGTGCTCTGATTCGACCTTCTGGGGAGGAGGATGTGTTGCTGCCTGGGGATAGGCCCTTGTCGCTGTCTCTTGAATGGTTGGGGATAATGGCACGGAGTCGGGTTCGGGGCGTTGAAATGAGCCGAAAGATGTGTTCCAGGACCAGCGAGATGGCATGGGAGGGTGGTGGGAGGGTGGATGGGGGGATATTTAAAGAGGGTGGATGGCATGGGAAACATTCAGGTCCAAGGAAAAAGGAGTTCTATCATCACAGAGTCCAAAAACCGAAATATATCCATCCCAATCTATCTATCTCGAATCAACCCACTTTTTCATCAGGCCTTCTGCCCGCCAATCTATCTCCCTAAAGCCCAACCAACCCACTCACCAACAATGGCCCCTCCAAAGATGAGCTTCGCAATCAGTCTGGCCACCACAGACATTGAAGCCACAAAGCGCTTCGGTACCGCTCTCGGCTTCACGGTTCAAGCCTGCTACGACGCAGACACAACTCTGCGCCTCAAGTACGACGATTCCTTCGGTATCTTCTACGCCACGCACTCCGTCATTAGCAAATTCCTCCCCGCTGGCCGCGAGATCGCCTCCACCAAAGTCGCGCACGAGGTCATCGTGACGCTCTCGGTCAATTCGAAGGAGCAAGTTGACACAATGATCCAGAATGGGCTTGCTGCTGGTGGGAAAGAGGGTCCCAATATGGTTCCGGAGGAATGTGCTGGTGCAGCGCTCTACTCGAGGAGCATAGAGGATCCGGATGGGCATCTTTATGAGATTCTCTTTTATGACTCGCAGGCTGCTGCTCTGGAGGGGCCGTGCAGCTTCAAGAAGGAAGAGAAATGAGTTCCGCTGTTTGAGGACATTTGCGCGCGGGATGGGTATTGATGGTAGTTGTTTGGGAAGGGAGAAGAAGGGGGGGGGGGTTCTGGGTGTGCTTGTGTGGGTTTTAATTCTCCATAAGGGTTGGCTGGGAGGTGGTCCGTCTTGATAAGCATGTTACCGCAATGTAATGTTTCGATCAAAGATTTCACTTTCCCGTTTTCTTTATGAGAGGAGATATCCTGAAATGCAGATGAACGTTCCATATTTTGATTCATTCGACCACGAAATCCATGATTTTGCTCCATATTGAATAGAAGCCAGTCGAGCTTCATCAGGTGTATTTCTCCCCTAAGATTTAGCATGGTCGAGTCTTAATTCCGGACGACTCAAAGCATAGGTCAAATATTGCCCCAGTCCGAAATCATTTTGTAACTATGTCTTAAATAGCTCCAAATATATAATTAACGTTGAAACACTGATATGAAAGAGTAGGCGCCTGGTCGGGGGTAAATCACAATGAACGTCTTGGACATCACACGTAGCTAACGAAAAATATTTGTGTATAGATTAGAGTGGACATCTCAAGTCTTTCTCAGGGGAATATCCACGAGGTAGGTCTACTTGCATTGAAGGCAAATAAAGCATAAGGGTATATAATACAGTGCGGCGACAATCTGGAAGGCTGGGCAGAGGTCCAAATTTGAAAAGGACATAGTCTATATGGGCAATATAAAGTGACAGGGGTACCGATCATGTTATGCCTGTGGGTTGGGTATATCTAGAATGAATCAAGGCAGCCGGAAATTCCATTTATCCAAGAGCTCTCATCGCAAGTTCCACACTAAATCATGGGTGTTAGCGGCTTAAAGACTTGCGTTAGGGTAAGCAATAGGAATAAGGGAGGAAAACACTCACACTGCGAATGTTCCAGCAGAAACTGGCATCGCTCTGAGCAATGTTGGTCCAATTCCCTTCCAGAACCCGCCCAACCCCTCAGCCGCAAAGGTCTTCTTGAAACAATCGATCGTTCCCGCGAATTTCTGTTGGGCACCAAATCCATCGCTCTGCATTTTACTCTTAATAACATCTAGAGGGTAACTTGCCAACCAGAGAGCTTCACCCGCAAGTCCTCCGTAGGCTGCCACTTTGACGGCCGAAATATCCTCTCGTTTAACGTTGCTGCGCTTAGCCTCCCAGTTCATGAGATATTCGAAACTGAGGAACCAAACACCGTAGGCTTGCGCTTCTCGAAATACAGTCACGAGACCTCCCCTGTAAATTCCCTTCAGGACACCTTCATGGGCAGAAAGCTTGCGGATGCAGTCGATTGGCCCGTGGTATAGCCGCTGGGCGCCGTGTGGTTGTGTTTGTAGCCGAATGCGGACATGCTCGATAGGTCCAGATATGACGGAATTGGTAACGCCGGCGAAGGCACCAGCAAGGTAGTATTGAGAGTAAGAAAGGGATGTATTAAGCGGGTTCTTTTTGGTGTTCCATTCTTCGAATCTTCGGCGTGCTTCGTGGAAAGCTCCAAATTGGACACTGACCTAGTACGTTGTTACCGCGAATTAGCTAAGTAACCCCCCATAGGTGCTAGATGACCCATCCCGGCGGCTTGGAAAGCTTGGTTGCGGAGGCGCAGCCGGATCGTACACGAGAGCTGAGAATCCTCAATATCGAATTGACTAGATGGGTGAGATGCTTACACAGGCGCCAATTCCCACCAACGGTGTTAATGTTCCCTTATAAAATGCCAACGGACCCTCATTCTTCAAAATCTTTGTGGCACAATCTAAAGCATTTGAGTAGTTTGTGGTGGTTTGGAGTCGGACCTTGATAATATCTGTGCGGGGGTTAATTTGATACCTATCAAGGGCGGTGAAGAAGAGTACCTACCGAATGGTTGACCTGTGATCAATTACAACGAGTTAGCATACGAATAATATTTATAAGTTTTTCCAATGGATAATTAATTGGGAGGCCATCGAGCGAATTTAGCTTTTCTTCTCCCTTGTGTTTTTAATTTTTCTTTTGTAAAAAAAAAGAAAAGAAAAAAAAAAAGCAAGCCACAGTGAGGATGATTCCCCCGGTATGAACAAGCGCCCAGGATTGGAAGATATTGGAAAAGAGGGTTATTAGAGTAGCACTCACCAAGAAGAACCTGCGCAATACCGCCAGCAGCACCCGCAGAGAGATCTTTAACTGTTCTCAAAGGGCCTTCGCTTTCAATTTCGTTAACTGCCATCTCTGCCAAATTTCCGTGGGCGGTTTTGGATATTCTTTGATAGCGACAGTTCCCCGTTGTGACTGAGCCAATTGAGAGAGCAACACCGCAAATAAAACACTCCTCAAAATCAAAACAGATACAAGGCGACTGCGACTACAGTATAGACACTTCAAATAATTATACTAACTCGCTGAAGCTGAAGAATTTGAAAACGAAAAAAAATATAAAATTAGAAAACCCGAAGCTGGCAATTCTCTCTTATCGGCCCCGCAAACTCTAAAAGACGTGATCGCCCCGAAGACCATATCGCCGAGAAAAATAAACTGGAAGGTGCTAGTGTGAATCTTACTTCTATCACCCAATGAAATAAGTTAACGCCTGTCGTATAATACATTACTGAAGTATGATACAGCTAGTGGTCCGCACTTTAAGAAACAATTCCGGCCACAAGCGGTGTTAATGCGAGTCACGTGACTTAATATCGGATTTATTACCGGCCCGGTATTCCTGACGTAATCCGACTTCTCTCCTAAAAAATTCCCGTGTCGAAGATTCAACGAAACTTATACTCGGATGCGATGGAACTCAACTTCGAGTCAACCCTTTTTAGCTCAGGATGGTCAGGCGATCTGTTTTAAAGGTATGACAGCGGGATATTTCATCAAATGATGCTCCAATTTACTAATCTGGTGTCGTAAAAGGTTTCGCGATGCCTGGACAGTTGTCACATCTGTTCCATCTGGCGGAGACCAATCCCTTCTCTTCCGACGGCCAGCGCTCACTGGGCTCCACGAAGACAATTCAACTCGACCTCAGGTTTGCCCAGACCTCCAGCCGCAGCGGCGGCCGTTGTAGAGCAGTATGATGACGGCCCACCTTCCCGACCAATCCAAGCAGCAAAACCTGCCTTTGGCCGCCCGGGAGCTGTTGGAGGCGTTCGGGGAGGATTTGGCGGAGGGTTCGGCTCGGGTTTCGGAGGGTTCAATGCTTCTTCGAATTCGCGAGAGAATGAACTCACTGCGGAAGAAGCCAAACAGCGCGATACATTGAGGAAACAAAGAGAAGCACAGAAACAACCTACGTCCCAACGGACCGCGTCCACACCCACGTCCACGTCCACACCTACATCTACATCTACTCCTACGCAACCCAAGATCCGTTATGGCAACTTCGGCCGTGATTCATCTCGACCTACTCATGTAGAAAATTCCGGTCATAGAGGGGAAGAACGCCAACGAAACATTCCAAGACGAAATCTAGCGGAACAGCCCCCAAATTCCTTTCGCATTACCAGAGTTGAAACAAACGACGACAATCCCGCTCGACCCCTGCCTGATCATAGAGGAAGGAGTTGGGATTGCCGGGTGTGCAGGCATGTCAATCCCGCGCCTAGTAGGGTTTGCCCTAGGTGCGGAACCCCGGGAAATCAAGCATCTTCTTTCGCATCTACGTCTCCCACCGAAGGGACAAATAGTGGTTGGAGTACTGCAAACACCAATGATCAGGCACGAGAGTCGCCGATAATACGCAAGGTTGGCATAGCTGCTTCTCAGGGAGATGGAACAACGACTACGACGTCCAATAATGCATTTAATACTTTCTCAGGGTTCCGAAAGGGAAAATGGTCTCAAGAACAGCAGGAGAAAGAGGAATATATAGCCTCCCAACTCTCCAAATCATCTCCACCCAAGGAGCATCAGAAGCCAGAGGTAGATGAGGTTCTTGCGCTGAAAGTTGACCCACAAGCGGCCGCAGAGGCGAGCGTAGACACGAGATCGAAGAAAATCAAAAAGAAAGGGAGGAGAAGAGACCAAGAGGATGACGACGGTGAAGGGCCAGTCATACGTACTTCAAACGAAGCGGACTATAACCGTGAAGTCGAGCGTGCGGAGCGCCGCCGACTCAAGGAGCGAAGAAAGCAACAAGCAAAAGAAGCGAAAAGGGCAATGGCAGCCCCTTCACCAATATATTTGCCCGAGTTTATAACGGTTGGTAACCTTGCCGATGCGTTGGGTGTTCGACCTGCCGAATTCCTGGAGCGCCTGGTGGATTTCGGATTTGAAGAAACAACATACAGTCATATTTTAGATGCCGAAACGGCAGCGTTAATTGCCTCGGAATATAATTTCACCCCTATAATTGAGGATACTGGCAATGATCTGGTGGCTGCCCCACCACCGCAGGATACTACAAATTTATCACCGCGGCCTCCAGTCGTCACCATTATGGGCCATGTTGACCATGGAAAAACTACCCTTTTGGATTGGCTTCGCAAATCGTCTGTGGTAGCAACTGAGCATGGAGGGATCACTCAGCATATTGGCGCGTTTTCTGTGACAATGCCGTCCGGCAAAGTTATTACCTTTTTAGACACACCAGGTCACGCCGCTTTCCTCGATATGCGTCGACGGGGTGCCAATGTAACGGACATTGTCATCCTTGTTGTTGCTGCCGATGACAGTGTTAAGCCTCAGACCATCGAAGCTATCAAGCATGCCAAGGAGGCCAACGTTCCGATCATTGTTGCCATTAATAAAGTCGATAAGCCGGACATCAACGTCGAAAGAGTAAAACAAGATCTTGCTCGTCACAACGTTCATGTTGAAGATATTGGTGGCGATGTCCAAGCCATATGTGTCAGTGGGAAAACCGGAAAAGGCATGGTTGACCTGGAAGAAGCTACGATAACACTGTCAGAAATGCTTGATCACAGGGCTGAGAGAGATGGAAATGTTGAAGGTTGGGTTATCGAAGCAACTACAAAGAAAGGTGGCCGTGTAGCTACTGTTCTCGTAAAACGGGGAACTCTAAAATCTGGTGATGTCATTGTCGCAGGCACTACTTGGGCTAAAGTCCGCACTTTGAAAAATGAAGCTGGAGTGGTTATTAGCGAAGCTCTCCCCGGCACTCCAGTGGAGGTTGACGGTTGGAAGGAACAGCCTCAAGCTGGAAGTGAGGTTCTTGAAGCGACAAGCGAGCAACATGCTAAGTCCGTCATCGAGTACAGATTGAGCAAAGTCGAGACAAAGAAACTGAGCGAGGACATTGGTGCCATTAACAAAGCTAAAAAGGCAGATCTTGAAAGACGAAGGCAGGAGCTGCAAGCTAAGGAGGACGAAAGAGCCCAAGCCGGTGCTGAAGCTGATTCTGGTCCAAAGGGCGTACCTTTCCTCATCAAAGCTGATGTATCAGGGTCCGCCGAGGCAGTGGTCAATTCAGTCTCTGCGCTTGGCAACAGCGAGGTATACGCTCGCATTCTACGGTCTGGTGTAGGGCCGATTGGCGAATTTGACATCCAACATGCCGCCGTTGCGAAGGGTCACATCATCACTTTCAACATGCCTGTGGATCCATCAATGGCTCGAATGGCAGAATCCGATGGGGTTAAGATCATGAACCACAACATCATTTATGAGTTAATTGATGATGTCAAGGCGAAACTTAGCGAGCACCTGCCGCCCACGATCACCCAACACGTCACTGGAGAGGCTGAGATCGGCCAAATTTTCGAAATATCAGGCAAGGGTCGCACAAAGGTTGCCATTGCAGGCTCCAAAGTTCGGAACGGCATGATCAGTCGCTCACATAAAGCGCGGGTTCTCCGTGACAAGGAAGTCATTTACGATGGTTAGTTTTAGTTGCTCTACTTCTTCCCCTTTCAATTTTCCGTATATGTTATCGAGTGACACTAGGAACACTCACTTGCTACATATGATGCTAACTTTATTTCTTGCTAGGTACAATCACGTCTCTCAAGAACGTCAAGAAGGACGTCACCGAGATGCGTAAGGGCACTGAATGTGGCATTGCCTTTGAGAACTGGAACGACTTTAGAGTCGGCGACCATGTCCAATGCTACGAAGAAAAGTCCGAAAAGCGAACCCTATGATATATATGAACGGGGAAAATTAATGGACTCTCTTCTCGCTCCCATATTCCTCACACGACCCCACACTCCGACGCGCGTCGTTTCTTGAACTTTTCTTTTTTATTACTTTTTTGTACGATATCTCACTTCATTCTGCTTTCTATGTTTGTCTTATATGAATTTCGACGTTCGCTCTTCTTCGGAGAGAGTAGGTAATATTCATCCGTCATTCGCCGATGAATCTGCCGCCTTAAATACCCTCGCACTTTTTCTACTCCTCTAAACCCTCTGTACGTCGATCCAACTCCCCTCTCTAACCCCAGTCCCGTTGTATCTCTTACTCTCACCAACATTACCAGGCCGGTGTTTCTATTTGCTTTCAACGGCATTGCATTTGCATGGATGTTTTGACATCTAAAAAATGGGGGATAGGTATTTTTGATTTTCTTAGCTGGATGGGGACCGTTGATATGTATGTGTAATCATGATAAGATCGGCTGGGATCTGCTAGATAGATATTTATAGGGTTTCATTAGGATAAAATAAAAAGAACGGGGTTTCTTTCTGTATATCAAGATTTTGAGAGTTGGGAGGGCGGCTGTCTTTTAGCTACTTGCCTACCACTCTGGAAACACGAGATTTAAGAAAGTAAACGTAAAGTTCCCGATGGCTCCTAAATGCGATTTGAAATAGGCCCCCAAAGGGAGTGGAAAAAAATCCACAAAACAAAATGAGGAAGCCAAACTGGCTTAATAGTTAATGGAAACATACAATGGTGATTGATTGCTATATCCACGCATCGCTCATATCAATCAACCTCAATGGTTCGCAAAACCCAACTAAATAAATTAAAAATCCCAACAAAGTAAGAAAAAAGGGAGCATGCATGGACGCATGGAAAGTAGAAGAACAAAGTCTACGGCGATCTACAAAGTCTACGGCGATCTAACAATACAACCATTTCTTTCTATTGCTCCCACACAGAGTTTAGCAACGCTTGATACCCCTCTATTTATCATTCCTCTCCCTTCAAAGCCAGCAAATACTCATAGAAATTCTACATTCCATTACATACCTACACATCCGGCTCTGCAACATAAAAATTTCCGCGCTAAGGGTGTTTGCCCCCCCCCTTGCCTTTCCCCTTCCCCAATCCCGCTGGTGCAGCAGCCGGTGCCTTGGAAGCTTCAGTTTGGTGCGCCGCCTGTGTGATTTGGCGAAAGACCTTAGTGTTAACATTTCCAGGCGTCATCACGGGATTCTATATTCTACGCTCAATTATCAGGGAGGTCAAAACGCACGTTCTTTTGCTTTCTGCCTCTGCCACTTGTGCTCGCGGTCTGGCCGTTCTTTAGAGCCCCAGCTGGAGCGGCGATTTCGGAAGCTTTCAATGCTGTTTCTAATGGAGATGGTGTGGCTTTATCAGTAGAATAAAGGACTTCTTGGTTTATAACGGCAGATTTGCTATCGGTTTTCTCTTCCTCCGGCGGGGTGATGTTGGTTGACTTTTCTAATTCTTTCACTGTAGCTGGAAATAGCTTTTTCTTTGGAGGAGTACGGGTCTTGCGGACGCCGGCCGGCTTCTTTGCCGCAGTGCCAGTCCCTCTCCTTTTAGAAGTTGTAGGTTTCGTTGGGGTGGTTGGAGGAGCTTCTGGATCTTGGGGATTTGGGTTGGCTGCGTCGCTCCCTGGAGATGTCTCCGAATCGGATAATGCTATAGATTCCTCTCCGGAATGTAAAGGAGAGGGTTCTCGAGATGACGACTGAGAAGGCGATGGCGATGGTGATATAAGTTTGTCGGCAAGAGACACATCAGGCTCAATACGTCTGATGGCACTTTTAGGTAGCTTGTGTAGGTCTTGCTGGCCAAGCCAGTATATGTCAAACGTGTTGGTATGAACGACCTTCCAAAATTGTCAGAGTAAATCTAGAGGGTTAAGGAAGTAAGCGGTGCTTCTCCAGATCACAACACATACCATAGAAACCCAGGCAATACGTAGTGCCATAGGGAACATTGATTTCTCAATCTCGGCTAGGATCTGCATTTCTATCTTTGCTCGCCGTATTTTGTCAAATCTCTCCTCTGCGACATAGCCGGAGATGACACGATTGGCATGCGAAAGGTAGACTTTAATGAATAAAGTGTTCTATTTTCAGAGAGAAAGAATGTCTCGCCAGTTAGATCTCTGAGGAACGATGAAAGAGGCCAAGTGCTAGCCAGCTGGTAGGCTGGATGGTATTCATCAACTCACGTGGTGATCTTCCATTTTGCAGAGGCCCGAAAAGGCACAACAGTGTCTACCAAAGTCGTACTGTGGTCACAAGGATCAAGTAGATTTGGTGGTATGGTCAACGACGCGTTCTCACAGGCGGACCACCTGGTACTCGCACGGAGGTAGAGGCCTCAGGTTTATAAAGGAACGGCAGTCTGCAGCCTGCAATGCGACAGAGTGTTGTTAAGCCAGCCAATTTTGTTTTTAGGGAACAAATAAATGGATACCAGGCAAATTTTTAGAGGAGATGGTGAGTTTTGAACGTAAGTCATGAGATAATGAAGAAACGAAGGACGACAGCAAGGGGGGAATGATAAGGACGGAGAGAGCAGAGGAGAAAATAAGGCGAAGTGAATCCCAAAATTGTCCCAATTCGTAGTTGTCAATGTTATGAATAGGAGTAGTTCCATTGATTGAGAAGCCCACAGATGGTTGTTGAAATGTAGGACAATTGGTGAGTGTTATTCATTCCCAGGCAGCATTGACACTGTCAGTGAACAATGAGAGGTATTCAAAGCATGCTTGAAGCTGAATGAAAATGAAATGTGTGGTTTGCAATCATTCATTCATCTATAGCAATGACTGTCATAACTCAACACATGCAATAAACAAGATGCGTTGCCCCCTTAAGTAGACTATTTTGAATGATGGTCACTTTTGCTCAAACAAAAGTGCCATATTAAAGTTGGGGGAAAAGGGGCTCATATAGCATATATAGTCAAATCATATAGCAAAGAAACCCAAGGTATGTTTGAGTGGAACAAAGTAAATGTTTAGTTATATTCTTTCCCCTTTAATAAAGCTGAAATGAGCAATCTTCACAAAGGGTAAAGAATATAGAAATAGATGCATAAAACCACCTTATTGCTCATTTTGCTTTCCACCGGATTCTAGCGACCCATTTTGCCCAGCCCTGGACATCCTCCCTTTGCAAAATCCGCTCAACAGTATACCACTCCTTTGCCAGCTCTTCATTAGAAGCCATCTTGTGAACGAAGGAATGGCAAGCTCTGCAAAGCCAGGCGACACTGTTCAACATCCATTCCTCATGCCACTTCCTCTTGAGCACTTTGGCATGTACCTCTCGCGGTATTAGATGGTGGTATGTTAAGGGGATCCAATCGCGTTCACATATTTCGCATGCCGAGGCCCGCGTACTGGGCCAGTTGGGCGGACCGGCCTGCACAACAGAGATATACCCGGTGAGAATTGGGTTCAAGAATGTTGGGAAGTCAGATGGGTCTGGTATGAGGCCGTAGACAGAGAGTGATTCAGATACTGATAACGGCACCGTTGCGGTTAATCTGTCGAGCGTTGAGAGTGGTAGTGGGTCAACGTATTTGTCTGCAAGACCACTGTTGCTTTGAACAGTCGCATAGGAGAGTGATTGAACTTCCTCTGGCAGGGAGTTGAATGTTTCTCCTGCAATATACTACTAGGCTGCCAAGTTAAGGTCGTTTTGGGAGGTAAAATATGTCGTTTTGGAAGATTGGGTGCATACATCAATGAATTCTGCTAGCTCTTCTGGATCATTGGCTTCGAGTTCGGTCGAGAGAGGCTTCTCTGAATCACCGGGTTGCGCAGACACTTTCTTTTTCCGCCGGAGGGGAGTCTTTGGGGCTTTTCTTGCATCTCTGTGAATAAGAAGAGCTTGGGAGACAAATTCTCTGAAGGTTTCGTAGTTGGGATTATGCACGGCCGCATTACTGTCCATTGGTGCGTACTTTAGGCTAGGTGACTTGATTCCTCGGCCATATAATTTTTATTCTACCTTCGTTTGCGGTGGCTGTCTGGAGCAGGCAGCCGAGACTATTTACTTCTTGGGTGGTTTTGGAACTAAATATTTACCACACAGAACAGGTTTCGGAACATAAATAAGGTTGCCGGTTCACTCCTCATGACCGGCTAGCCTAAGGACGCAAACATTTACGAGCAATCAGCATCCTTCTCTATCAACATCAGCACATCGGCAAATAAGGTTGGCTATTTCGTATAGCTAACTGGAACCTTGTGAAATATGGCCTCGTCAAAAGGCATCGTGCTTGCGTTCGACCTCTACGGCACACTGCTATCTACCGAATCCATTGCACACAAGTTGGCCCAGCATTTTGGCCCTGAAGAGGGAAAGTCCATCGCAGCTCTCTGGAGACGGTATCAGCTCGAATACACTTGGAGGCTAAATAGCATGGGTATTTACTCTTGCCTTACATAACACTACTGGCAGGACAGTAACTAGTTAAAATAGTAACGCTTACGCACACTTGTAGGGCAGTATAAACCATTCTCAGAAGTGACCCGAAACTCATTGCGGCATGCGCTAGCTGAGCATCAAGTCGATCTTGACCAGGACTCCACAGAAGAGCTTATGGACAGCTATAATTCACTATCTGTCTTTCCAGACACCATACCATGTCTAGCGAGCCTGGTGGATGACCGGAAGTTGATCCCAGTCGTGTTTTCCAACGGAACAGCCTCTATGATCTCAAATTCAGTCGCACGATCCAAGGAATTGGCACCGTACGCCGGCATGTTCCGCAATATCGTGTCCGTCGATCCCACCAAGAAATTCAAACCGGCGCCAGAGACGTATCGGCATTTAGCTGATAGCATTGGCAAGGAAATATCGCAAATGAACGAAATGTGGCTTATTAGCGGCAATCCTTTCGACGTAATGGGCGCGATTAATGTAGGAATGAAGGCTGCATGGGTTGACCGGGCAGGGTTGGGATGGATTGATTCGATGAACGGAGAAGCAAGGCCATCCGTTGTAGCCGGAGACCTCGTCACAGCGGTATTGGATATTAGGAATCATGAATTTTAGTGAAAACGTAAAACAGAAACCTCTGCTGACAATGTAAAATTTGGTTGCAAACAGTGTCTTTCGATTATTTTTTAGTCACAAATAACAAGTAAAAAGAGGAATGTATCGCTGCAAATATTTCCAAATTGCTCCATGGTGCAAGGTTGAACATTCGGGGTAAGTAACCAGCGGTCTCCATTATCTTCCCTCCAATTTCCCCTCCGCCAATCCATTTAGAAGGAAGGAAGAGTGAATATGAAGGGGTGAGTTTTATGTTGGAGAGAGAGAGAAAAAAGGAAACGGAATTTCCTTGCGCTGAAATTTCAGGAAGTCAGTGGGCTGATTACATAATGGATGTGTCATCATGCCCTCAGCCGCATTTTTTGTTGGCCCTTACGGCCGTTGCGGTTAGCGATCCCACTAGATCACGTGACCCACCACTATATTATGTTCCTGTAGATAGATCTATCAATACAACCTTCAACTATTCTACAGATTATAGCCTGAATGGCATGTTTTTCTTTTTAGAATGTTGTATCAATATATTTTTAACACAGATAGTTCATCTTTTTTAAAAAGACTCTTACTCTTTATTAGAGATATTTCATTTTCTCTGAATCTGTCAGTCAGTGAATTTATATACTTTATATTTTTAAGAAAGTATGTTCTTCATTGTGAAGAATATCACTTTTTATTTTTTTTTTACATATCTAGAAGAAGCAGAGTTATCTTAATATAAGTGATATATCTGTTACTTCAGAGTTCAGCTTAAGACTCAGAATTACATACTTCACTAAATAACTCATTAATAGAATAATCACTTATTATGAGAAAGCTTCTGACTTGTAAGATAAGACTGAGATCAGTTTTCATCAGAGTATGAAATTTGATAATAAGATAATAAAGAAACTTCAGAATAAAGAAAAGCAGAGTTAATATTTATCTACAGAATCTATTCATTTCAACTCTTTAAATTCTTCACTATCTCTCACTCTTAGAATGCTGACTTTTAATAGTAATCTGAATCAATCTATCTATTGCACTGCAGACAATCTTATGAATCTTATACAGATGATACTACAGAATTAAATAACTGCAGCTGAAACTGCTTAACATCTTACTATATCTATCTCTGTATAAAGAGATACTATAAGAGATGAGTTGTAAGAATATCAGAAGAAAGTTAAATATATACTAGATATCAAATTAGTGATCATATTTAATAACTCTAATTATAAAGCCTGATGTGTTGATATGTTGACTGATATGAAAGTTATTAATAAAACTAACATTTTATTAAAAACTTAACAAGAATTCTCTTTTATACATTATATTGATTCTGAGAAGTAAAGAATCTGTTCTAAGTCTCTATATAGATGTATGCTATTGAGTCTTATTAAAAATGTTTAAATCACTATTAAAACCTTGAAAGCTGACAATGCTGCAGCTCTGTGAAATAAGATTAATATTGAATATGTAATATCACTGATAGAAGAACAAGTTAATATCTTCAAGAAATTGATAAAATTACAAGTTAAGAAGAATAATTATCTTACTTTTCAGAGATGTTTCTGCTATCTTGTTACCTGTCACAAGAAGCTCTGTCAGAGTACTGAGAATGTATATTATAATCTTTTTCTCAATAATCTGCAGAATTATCAAAGATCATTTATCAAGATATATTTGAATGAGTTTTTCTTCACTGATCAGAGACTCATTGTCAACATTGATATTGATAATTTAATAAAGCAACTGATTAATCAGACATTTAAGAAGATTATCACTAAGTAGAAAAAGCAGCCTCAGACTGATTCTGTGACTGTGAAAAAGAATAAGAATAAAGATGAGAATAAAAGCATATCTGTATAAAAGTGCACTCACTGTAGAAGATATAAATATACTGTTAACAGATGTTTCATCTTACACTCTGATAAAAAGAAAAAGAAGAATGATAAGAAGAATGATAAGAAGAAAGAGAAGAAGAATAACTTGATAAGTTCTCAATCAGCAGCAAATGTAGTAATTATAAAGATTGAGTTCTATTTCTCTTTCACAGTCACTGAAAAATCATTCTTCAGATCTTAATATTTGAACACATGTGCAAGCCTGAATATGACAGATGAGCTTTATTCTTTTTCAAATATTAAATCTTTTAATAATAATATCTCTGTTGATTCTGTGACTGAGAAAACTG